TAACCTTAGAGGCTGTGTATTGTGGAAATGAAAGAGAATATTTATATCAAAATGCTCCCACGTAGTCCGTGCTCAATCAGCAGGCTCAAAGTTTCTTTAATAAGGAGAGGAATGGGGACTTTTTGGCTTGGAGAAGGGTAAACTTGGGATACGTGTTCTTTGTGGCCTAATAGATCATGTAGGTGGCAGCTACAAGGAGACAATCATGTAATAGAGTAGAACTTTCTAAAAGTGGGAGCTACCTAAAGAGAGAATGGAGTACTTGAAAAGGCAGGGAGTTCTTTTAGACCATTTGGCAAGTACAATTAATTATAAGGAAGTAGAAAAATCACTTACTGTTTATTCCATTCAGAGGCAGTCCCTTAAAGCACACTTTCTTCTGGTCTGTTTCCACGTATTTTTAATTAAAAATTTTTTTTGAATTGATAATATATTCATAAACCTGTCAGCACTTCAGTTCTCTTCCCTGGAGGCCACCAGTTGCTGCCAGAGATAGTTTTCTCATTTGGTTTTGTAGCATAAACATTTTCCTATGTCATTTAAAATTCTTCATAAATGTTATTTTTAGTTTCATCCTGTGGACAGATTTTTTTTTTTTTGGATAGATTCTCAGAAATGGATTTATTCAATCAAAAGTGAAAATATATTTAAGACCCTTGAAACATCTTGCTAAAATATTTTTCTGAAAAGGTGTGCCGGTTTATACGATTAGCAGCTATATTTGCTTGTGACCCATACCCTTGCCAGCATTGAATATTCCAGACAGAAACACCTTTGCTCATTTGATAGATTGAAAGTGGCATCTTAATTTACTTTGCATTTCTTGCGTTATTTGTGAGGAAGCATCTTTCAAATATTAATTAGTTATTTAATTTTCTGTTTAGAGTTTACATTTTTTGGAGAGTGTGTCCTTTGCTCTTGGCCTATTTATTGTGATTACTGTTTATTGGGATGTTTGTGTACTTTTAAAATCAGTTGATGAACTTTTTAATATATTAAGGATGTGTATTTTTATAGTCTATTTGTTTATTATTTATTACAGAACTTTAATTTGCCCCCTTTATCTTTTTAAATAGATTTATATTTTTTATGTGATCACTTGATTTTATTCTTTAGATTTATTTCCATTGCTTTTGTACTTGAAGAGTCCTCCAAAATTAAATTTTTGTATATGTATATTTTGTGGTACAATTTAATTATTTTTCATTTTACTTTTTAATCAGCGGTTAATGTTAGTATTTGGTGTGAGGTGAGTATCTAGATAGATTTTATTTTCCAAATAACCAGTCAGTTGTACCAGCATCACATTGAATAATCCTTTGCTAAGCCCACTAATTTAAGATGCTAGTTTTTAAGGAGCATTTTAAGATGCTTTTAAGTATGAACTGGATTACCTCTTGACAGAAATGAATAGAGGCTACTTAAGAATTAGAAGAGGTGGTTTTTCATAAATTTTTAGAGTCTTTTCTGGTCCTCACATACTATGAATCATTTTCATTACCTTCTACCAGTAGATGTTAAATGATCAGTGTTGTTGATTGATGAATATAAGTAAATACGAAGTTACTAACTTTTAAGTACCTGGTTTATGGGTAAATACAATAAGCAAGTTGTGATTCACTAAATTCCAAGGAGGCATTTTCCAAGAAGAACTAGATCTTTGGGCTCAGAAGACATTTTTTAAATGTTTAATTCATTGTGCTTTTTAACATGCTGGCTAACTCACTTTGGGGAGGGGAAGGAAAGTGTTGTGTATGTCCTTTTGCTATGGGAAGCACAAGATTGTAACATGAGCATTTTGACAGCTTGTATATATTGAAGGTAATTGGTTTAGTTCTATGTTTTTCTAATAATTTAAGCTATAGCTGGAGTGGTGATTGTTTGCACAGATTATCCCCTTAGGCTGATTTGGTGTATTTTCCCTCAATGAATTTCCAAAGATATGGCTGGCCAAGGTGCTGATTTCTGTAGGAGGTTGGTGTTAGAGAGGTTTGTTTGTTTATTTACAGTGCTTTCCTTTGAATGGTGTGGAACTTGGGTAAAGGAAGAACTAGGTTTAAGAAAATGTTGCTTGTTAAATTATTTATTTATTTGTCCGTGGGATCTTAGTTCCCTGACCAGGGATAGAACCTGTGCCCCCTACAGTGGAAGCACGGGAGTCCTAACCACTGGACCGCCAGGGAATTACCCCCAAAATGTTGCTTTTTATAAAAGTTTTATTTCTTTAGGAAAATGGCATTGAAGAATTTTAAAATTGGTTTAAAAATACTGATGTCTTTTCTTGGCATTAAGTTTTTCAAATCTCCTGTGCTATTGACATATTATTTGTATCTTACTACCCTCTTGAAAATAATAATGGGCTTAAAGAGATGTTGTGTTATATTACTTGGTGCTGTGGGAGAAAGGAGTTAATAAAGTGTGACTCTTGGGTTTTTTTTAATTTATTTGTAAATACACTAGTTTTAAGCTTCACATAATCTTACTCTCTTACAGTCTCCAGAAGAAAATAAACTCTTGATCCATATTTGTGAGTGGGTGTTCTTTCAGTATATTTGGGCTTGCTAGTGAAACAAATGTCAATAGGATTTTGAAAGGGTTTCATTTTATGAAAAATAGGCTTGGAGGAAATCCAAATTACTATTGAATTAAACCCTAGTGAGAGATTGATAGATGAGGTTCAGGACATACTACAAATATGGCACCTTGGCATATTGAATATTTTAAGCTGAGGGAGTTTGAGAAAACAGCAAAGCTGAAAAGTCACTCTGACTTCCCGCACTTTGCCCTCCTTCCTTGAAATAGGCCATAAAATCCTCATGTGAGAGGTGTCCTCCCTATACCTGGAGGAAAGGAGCATCCTTATCTTCGAAGACAAAGGGGCATGAAGAAGAATCCTAATAAACAGGCCTTGCTCAGTTTCCCCCAGTTTACTACACTTACCTCATACTCAACCTATCGTTCCTCTGCGAATGTCCACTTTTCGTCAAACCTAGCATAAAAGTACGTGGGTCTGTTTCTTTGGGTCTTTATTTCCTTAGAGGTTTTCATGTCACATAAAAGATATGAAATAAATTTGTATGCTTTTCTCCTGTTAATATGTCTTTGTCAGTTTAATTTTTGGACCCAGCCAGGGACCCAAGACAGTCAAGGAAAACTTTTCCTCCCCTACAATATCAAGACTGAATTTTAAAATATTGAGATATAATTCACATACCATAAAATCCACCCTTTCATTGGTCTTCAGTATACAGTTGATCCTTGAACAACACGGATTTGAATTGCATGGGTCCACTTATACGTGGATTTTTATTTTGAATAAATACATACTATAGTACTACCTGATCTTTGGTTGGTTGAATCCACAGATGCGGAACTGTGGATCCAGAGGGCTAACTAAAGTTATATGCTGATTTTTGACTGAGCAGAGAGGTGGCATCCCTAACCATGGTCGTCCATGGGGCAGCTGTATTCACAGTATTGTGCAACCATCACCACTGACGAATTACAGAATTTTTTTTAATAGATTTTATTTATTTATTTATTGGCTGCGTTGGGTCTTCCGTTGCTGTGCGCGGACTTTCTCTAGTTGCTGCGAGGGGGGGCTACTCTTCGTTGCGGTGCGAGGGCTTATTGCGGAGGCTTCTCGTTGCGGAGCATGGGCTCTAGGTGCGCAGGCTTCGGTAGTTGTGGCACACGGGCTTAGTTGCTGCACGGCATGTGGGATCTTCCAGGACCAGGGCTCGAACCTGTGTCCCCTGCATTGACAGATTCTTAACTACTGCAGCACCAGGGATCCCCAGAATATTTTTATTACTCCAAAATGAGGCCCCATACCCCTTAAAGGTCTCTCCCCATTCCCTTCTCCTAGCCCCTGACAACCACTAATCTACTTTCTGCACATTTGCTTATTCTGGATATTTATATAAATGGAATCATTTAATATGTGGACTTTTTCTTGACTGGCTTTCATTCAACATAAAGTTTTTAAGGTTCATGTTGTAGTATGTATCAGTACTTTTATGGCTGAATAATATTCCATTGTATCAATAATACCACATTTTGCTTATCCGTTGATCAGCTGATGGACATTTGGGGTGTTTCCACTTTTTGGTTATTATGGATATTGCTGCAGTGAACATTTGTGTACAGGTTTTGGTGTGAACATGTTTTCACTTCTCTTGGGTGTATACATAGGAGTGGAATTGCTGTGTCATGTAATAATCGTGTTTTAGTTTTTGAGGAACTGCCAAGCTGTTTTCCAGAGAGCCTGTACCATTTTACATTCCCACCAGCAATGTTTGAGGGTTCCAGTTTCTGCACATCCTTGCCAACACGTGGTTATTGTCCTCTTTTTGATTATAGCCATCCTAATGAATGTGAAGTGGTATTTCATTGTGGTTTTGACTTGCATTTCCATAATGGCTAATGATGTTGAATCTCTTTTCATTGTGCTTATTGGCCATTTGTATATCTTCTTTGGAGAAATGTCTATTCAAATCCTTTATGCATTCTAAACATTGGGTTATTTCTCTTTTTATTGTTGAATTGTAGTAGTTCTTTATATATTCTGGATATTAGACCCTTATCAGATATATGATTTGCAAGTATTTCCTCCCACTTTGTGGGTCATCTTTTCACTTTCTTGATAGTGGCCATAGAAACACAAAAGTTTAAAAATTTTGAAACCATTGTCAAATCCAAGGTCACAAAGGTTTACACACCTGTTTTCTTCTTCTAAGAGTTTTTTAGTTTTCGTTCTCAACATTTAGGTTTTTTTGTTTTTTTTGTTTTTTTTTGTTTTTTTGTTTGTTTTGCTGTACGCGGGCCTCTCACTGTTGTGGCCTCTGCCGTTGCGGAGCACAAGCTCCGGACGCGCAGGCTCAGCGGCCATGGCTCACGGGCCCAACCGCTCCGCGGCATGTGGGATCTTCCCAGACCGGGGCACGAACCCATGTCCCCTGCATCGGCAGGCGGACTCTCAACCACTGCACCACCAGGGAAGACCAATATTTAGGTTTAAGACCGAATTTAACTTCAAAATTAGTTTGAGCTTCACTCTAAAACCATTTTGAACTGATGGGTGTCATTACCTTTTTTGTGTGTGTAACTTTGGCTTTCTAAGGTTTGTTTGAGGTTTTTGTGTTTTGGGGTGTTTTGTTTATTTAAATCTACCCACCTTTATACTAAGAACCAAAGAGTTAACTAAATTTCCCCTTAGAGTAGCACTAAATGAGTTGGTAAGTACAGTGTAGAGCAAGGAAGAAGATATTGAAATGTTTTGTGGTAAAGAAGGTAACTTGTGCAAACTTGGGTGGGAAGATATGATAATGGTCACTTGTAAACCTCAAATTAGCTGAGATTGAATATAAGTTCCTCAGGGGAGATCTGTTTTGGTAAAATCAGAGGGACTGCATATGTTCATTGGCTGCTCTTAAAACTTGAATGAAACAAAACAGCTGGAAAAAAGCAACTTTGCAGTCTTTTAGTATCTGCTTAAAGTACTCTAAATACAAAAAGTGTTGCTAATTCTGTTCATCCTACTCAGGATATGGATAGAGAGAAAGTCACCAGATGGGGTTACTTTAGCTATGCCTTTATAAGAGAAACAGGACCTGGGTGTGAATCTCAGTTAAGCTGTTTACTAGCTGTGAGACTTTGGACAAATTACTTAATCTTTCCTAAGCATCAGTTTCCTCATTTGTAAAATGGGGGTTATGAGAGTGCCAACCTCACAGCGTTGTGGGAGGGCTCAGTGAGACAGACAACATACTGTCTGTCTTAATAAACACGTAATAGTGGCTTTTATTACTACTTATCCTGGATTAGTGACTATTTGTAATATTTAACTAATTACATTTGGCAGGAATAAGACTGCCTTATTTCTTCTCTCATCTCAGTTTTCTTCTTTGTGTCTTAGTCGCTGATATTTTTAACCCCAGCTTTAAGAAAGTGGTCAGTTTAATTCTTTTTATGAAATGAGTTATAGTTACTAGCTTGTTCTGTTATTATACTTAATTGTTATTTTCTTTCTTTGCATAAAGCCGGAATTGATTTAAACGTGGTCATGCTTCAGGAATCCAAAGTTTATTATATGAATACCAGTCAACAATCCTGTTATAAAAATGTGCTTATCCCAAAGTGGCATGATATATGGACACAGATACAGGTAATGATTTGGAGGCTCCTGGCAGGGGCAGTTTCTGTGAATATCTGTCTGTCTGTGATTAGTGAGTACGTTGACACTTTCTTCCCTTCTCATATGCAGTTAAAAAAAAATATATATATATATATGTGTGTGTGTGTGTGTGTGTGTGTGTGTGTGTAAAATTAACAACCTTGATAAGATTATGATTATTCTTAATCTCATCAGTGTTTTCATCAGTAAAGCATTTATGCCTATTTTGTGTTTCTCTCTCTGTTTCTTTAAGTGGCCTGAGATAAACTTCCTTCCTCCTTTTCCCCAAGAGACTACTTCCTTCTCTTCCCCTCACTCCTTTTACACTCATAGAGACACACACACACACACACACACATATAGACCTCTCTTTCTTTTTAAAGGTCTTAGGCCTTCTTTGGGCTGGAAACTGTTGCATGCCTATCAGGATGTAAACTCTCGCCTTGCTGCTCCTATTCTATTTTGATTCTACACAAGGTGTTGCATAAATGCCCTGAGCTGAAGTTTCCCCTTGATAGAATGACTTTGGTCTCATTTATTTCATAACACTGTTGAGCCAGAGTGTCTGGCTGTAATGATTGAACAAAATGAGTCCTTGGAAATGTTTCTGCTGCTATAAGCATAGTTACTGATAAGGGATTTGTTCACATCAAAAACATAAGGTGGGCTCGTGGGTTTTTCAAAAAAAATTCTCTTTTTTCATTGTCTGATATAAAGATCATATTCCATCTGGAGCACATTATAACCAACATTTACCCATAATCAGTGATTTGTGACAAAGGGTTGAACTTTTCAGCTTGTCATTATGGGAAACATTTTTGGTGCTGTTTATGCCTGGCAGTTTTCTTAATATTCTAGACCTTTGCTTTGCATGATCTCTCATAAATAGCTGTATTGGTAACTCTTTCAGCTTGGAAGTCTTTTTTTTCCCCCTATGTTCTGGCCTAATACTAGATTCAGATCATGTTAACAATAAAACATTCTAACAGCTGCCTCTCTGTACCATGTACAGTGTTATTTGCCCAGTTATCTTTTAGCTGCTGTATCTCTGTATTTCTCATAAGCCTGTGGAAAGCTGGTGCCATTATTGATTTAGTTATTTACTCTAAAGGTTGTTTTTTTTTTTTTTAATTATATTTGGGAAAATTTTAAATTCCTTCTTTCTTCTTTCTCATCCTGATTTTACTTGTGTTACAGATTCGGGTAAATAGTTCCAAACTGGTCCGAGTCACCCAGGTGGAGAATGAGGAGAAACTGAAGGAGCTAGAGCAGTTTAGTATCTGGAACTTTTTTTCCTCCTTTTTAAAAGAGAAATTGAATGACACCTATGTTAACGTGGGTCTATACAGCACAAAAACCTGCCTCAAAGTTGAGATTATAGAGGAAGACACCAAGTACAGTGTCACTGTGACCCGGAGTAAGTCTTACCTCTGTTTTTCTGATGGATTCTATGGTGAGAAGGGACTGAGCTTTCAAGGATGTAATTAGTGAGAAAAGTCAGCCCAAGACAGCTCCATTTTGGTTCTGATTATAACCTGAATATACCACTGCTCCAAACAGTTCAGAGAGCCTCCACCCCTCATAAAACCCTTTAGGCCTAGATTTGAGACTTTACCATAAGTCATTCTGAGTACTTCCTTACCTGGAATTGTGAAGACTTGTATTTCTAATACTTCCAATGGCTCTGAGCTGATATGCCTAGTATTCTTCAGAGTAAGATAGATGTATTCCTTGCCTTCTGGGCACTTATAGACAAAGATAGATGTCTTGAAATGTACAGGTCTACATTTGAAGACATGAATGGTTAACAATAAAAACTAAAGAAGGGTAGAACTGAATACTTCACAAACAGAAGAATATATGTGGAACCATAAATAAATATGAAGATCACTGCAGTTTCAGGCTTATTCAGTCTAATTGGGAGTTTTCCCTTCTCTGAATGTGTCTGAGAAAGTTTCACAGAAGAGGTGGATCATTATCCTGTTGGATTCTCTGTGACTTTTGGTCTCTCCTTGGTAACTACTGTCTTAGGAGAGTAATGTTTTAAGTAGTAGAAATGTTCCTGGGTTTTGCTACGAAATACGTTGTGCCCTTCTAACTGTCCTAGGGTTCCACAGTTCTTTGGTTGAACAGGATCAGCCTGTTTTTTGGTGTTCCTTTTGCATTTACTGATCCCTCTCACTCCTGTTCTGTTTGTGGACTTCCCCTAGACTCAAGAGCTCTTGAATGTGAAAGCTGTGGGAGTGTCTGGTATGCCAGTAAGGGGTCTATGCTTGGGCCCCCTGGTTTTGGGTGAGATGTGTTTTGAGTATAGGCTTTTCCAACACAGTGCTTGTGTAGTGAAGAGAAGTAGGTGGTGGTGTTGGTCAAGCAGAGACCAACAGTTAGAGAACAGCAGAGGGCCCTGACCCCAAGTTCTGGGCTAATCTGAATCTGAGCGTGTGTGACTTAAGGCCCGAAAACCAGAGTGGTGGAGACCCCTTGTGGGCGACTGCATGAAGCGCTGATGGCACTATGGCTCCATCCAAAGCAAAACTTAGCTTCTTTTAGCCTTAGCTTAGTAGCCAAAATAAAAATAAACTCTTGAGGGAAGTACAGGTTAGACAGAGACCTAATTATACTTTCTCTTTGGAAGGGTGCCCAGGCTTTGTGTGGAATTTAAAATGCTGTTTAGGTGGGCTGTTTGCATATATTTTATTAGCTGACCAATGATGCCAACATTGTCTTTTATTCTGTAATGCCTTAAATTGTTTTGTTCCCCTATTAAGCAGAAGTCTTTTATTTATTTCAGGATTTGACCCCAAACTCTTCCTCATTTTTCTCCTTGGACTTATTCTATTTTTTTGTGGTGACTTGCTGAGCAGGTAGGTTCCAAGGCTAGCGGGCAGAATGAGGAGGCTCAGACCTACCCTGCTTGACTTTTTTTTTTCATTCATTCTTGGCTGCGTTGAGTCTTCATTGCTGTGCACGGGCTTTCTCTAGTTGCGGCGAGTGGGGGCTACTCTTCGTTGCAGTGCACGGGCTTCTCACTGTGGTGGCTTCTCTTGTTGCGGAGCACGGGCTCTAGGCGTGTGGGCTTCAGTAGTTGTGGCACATGGGCTCAGTAGTCATGGTTCGCGGGCTCTAGAGCACAGGCTCAGTAGTTGTGGCGCACAGGCTTAGTTGCTCTGTGGCATGTGGGATCTTCCCAGACCAGGGCTCAAACCCATGTCCCCTGCATTGGCAGGCAGATTCTTAACCACTGCGCCACCAGGGAAGTCCAACCCTGCTTGACTTTTATCATAAAGACTTGAAGTGCTGCCATTCCCTTTTCTAGGACCTTTATGGATGGCTAGGCCATTGCCTGCTTCAATAATTAAAAAAAATAATATGTGTTATAATTATTTTCTTGTATTAATAAGATTGGTAATAATGAAATTCCCCCATTAGGTTACCCATCATGTGTGGGATTTAGCCAATACAGCACCACCCTTTCCACCGTTAGAAATGTTTAGCCCTCATTTTTACAGGGCTGTGTGTTGATGAGTTTAATGCTGTTCAGAAGTAAAGAAACAGATATCAACCACTTACTCATTTCCTGCCTTTAGGAACCTACTAGCTAGATGAAACAGACATGTACAAATATAAAGAAAACATATAGATAACAAACATTGAACAAAGGTAGAATTAACATTAACTTTGAACACAAGGAGAATATTTGTGGAATAGTGAATGAAAGCTTACCAATTGAAGTTCAGCTGGAGCAAGGTTGGTGGAAGTTGTTCCTTATTTTGGGGATCCTGAGAGAAACTCAAAGTGAGGGAGGGATATCTGGTAGAAAGAACCTAGAAGAGGAAGAGGAGCTCTCTGTTCTGTGCCCTGTGTTTGGTTTATCCTTCTGGGTGATCAGTTCAGTTCTAGTTTCCAGTGTCTACTGGGGCTCTTCCTTCTCCCTAGAGAAGCTGTGCAGTTCCCAGAAGAAAGATTCTCATTAGAAATTGCGTGGGGAGAGGTACTGGGGATGGGAGCGGGAGACTAAGCAGAGGTTTATTACTGGGATATATTTGAGGGGCCCTTATTGATACTAATCTTCATAATCTGGCAGCAACTACATTGTACTAGTCTCTTCAGTTTTCTCATCTCAAGTGTTGGGCAAATACCTGCTCTCACCATGTACCTTTATTCTGTCTTTTGGCTGGGTTAGTTGTCTAGTTTGAACAGTGCCATATATGAATACACACGTAGTTATGAAATGAATTTTCTCTCTGCAGAAGTCAAATCTTCTACTATTCCACTGGGATGAGTGTGGGAATTGTGGCCTCTTTACTAATCATCATTTTTATGCTGTCCAAGTTTATGCCCAAGGTAAGGAGCAGAATCCTCACATGCAGTTAGTATGAGCTTGGATAGTTGAAGGATTGTTTTTGGATAATCTTACAGCACTGAAAATTTGCATTGATGGCTGATAAGTAAATGTCCTACTCTTTCCTTGATTCAGAAAGGTACTTTCCATGATGAAACTTAGAGCCTCATTACATACAATCTCTCCCTTTTTATTTGAAATCCTGTATACAGTGGGGGTGATTAAAGTCTTCTTCCTGTTTGTTAATTACATAGATTATATAGCCAGGCTTTTAAGTTATTTAGCATCTCATTTTCCCAGTTTTCTTTGCAGACTGTACCATTTAAAATATAAAGGACATCTTTTTAAGAGATGTGTTTTGTGCATTTTTAGTAGGTTGAATTTTTTTTTTTTTAAATCACAGTTCTATTTTGTTTCTTTTATGTATGGAAAGCCCATTGTAACTTTTTGCTTTCACTTCTACTCTTTCTTAGAAAAGTCCCATTTACATCATCCTGGTAGGAGGCTGGTCCTTTTCTCTGTACCTCATTCAGCTAGTTTTTAAAAATTTACAAGAGATCTGGAGATGTTACTGGCAGTATCTTTTAAGTAAGTGTTGTTGGTTTTGCTTTACTTTTTATATGTTTATAGGCTGCTTTAGTTAATTTGATCATGAAAAGATGTTGCTTGCTTACTGCTTACAGGAGTTTAATAGTCTATGCCATTTTGTTAACTTGTAAGAATCATAGTTCTTTACTTATTTCTAACCCCTCTATACAGTTGTCACCTTCTCTTAAATTAAAATGATGCTGCTAGGGAGAAGACTTTAATTTCTTGGTGTTTATAAATACATCTCTCTTTACACAATAGCCATCTTTCTGAAAAGCCGTAGATTGACTTTATGAATATAATCATATTTTAAATACACTTGAGGACCTTAAGAAGTAAAGGACTCTACAGTGAACCTTATCTACAAAGCGAGAATCTTTTGGTTATAAAGATAGTAACTCTTAATCTATCCTTTGAGAGCAGGTTAATCTGGATTTTCATATATTAGGTTTTTTAAACAGACTATTTTAGAGTTGTTCAACATGTAGGTTTAATTCTCCATTTGAGAATTAAATAAATTCAGGATAGTAGAAAGGATAGAAGCTTAAAGAGATTAATATATATGAATAATGAAAAAAGTGTGAATAATTGAGTAAAGATCTTACCTATTTCCCTGGTTCATTAGGCGCTACATAGTGAATTTACTGCTGCTCCCCACACAGATTATTTTTACCAACTGTAGATTAAAAAGAATGTCTTCTGATAACTCTTCTCATAGGCTATGTCCTTGCAGTTGGATTCATGAGTTTTGCAGTCTGTTACAAGTATGGGCCCTTGGAGAATGAACGAAGTATCAACCTGCTGACTTGGACCTTGCAGCTGATGGGCTTATGTTTCATGTATTCCAGTATCCAGATACCACACATTGCCCTTGCCATTATCATCACTGCACTGTGTACTAAGAGCCTGGAGTACCCTATTCACTGGCTGTACATCACCTACAGGTGACTGAAAGGCAGTGTAACTTTGTACTGAAACATGCAATGTGGGATGCAGTTGCAGCAAAAGGAGACAGAGGTGTTGACCTGGGAGCCTCTTTGTTAATGCAAATTTATGGTATTATGCTTCACTTTTATTTCCTTCAAGTCTTTCTTTTTAGATTCTCTGTAGGTATTTTTATAGAATTTATAAATTCTGGTTATTTTATATATAAAATAAAAACATCTAGTAAAGTGTCATGTGTTCTTGTTACCACTAGGTGATGCAAAGTATATCACCTTTATACCGCATGCCTCAGGTCACCTGGTTTCAGATTATTTCACACTGGCTCTCAGATTGCTCTGGGAGTCCTATTTTTTTTTTCCCCCAGGTTTTTTTTTTTTTTTTTTTAAATTTATTTTTGGCTGTGTTGGGTCTTCGTTTCTGTGCGAGGGCTTTCTCTAGTTGTGGCAAGCGGGGGCCACGCTTCATCGCGGTGCGCAGGCCTCTCACTATCGCGGCCTCTCTTGTTGTGGAGCACAGGCTCCAGACGCGCAGGCTCAGTAGTTGTAGCTCACGGGCCTAGTTGCTCCACGGCACGTGGGATCCTCCCAGGCCAGGGCTCGAACCCGTGTCCCCTGCACTGGCAGGCAGATTCTCAACCACTGCACAACCAGGGAAGCCCCCTGGGAGTCCTATTCTTAGTTTAAGATGTAATTCAAAGCATGTTGTCACTTTGTATGGTGACTGTGGAATGGTCATAGGTTCTGAGGTTATCAATGTTCTTTCTATTACAGATAGTCAAAGTAATGTCTTCAGTTCGGGGGGAACCAAGTTAATGAACCACAGTCTTATGCCATCATTTCTTGTGGTTTTTCCATTTATTGGGAAATAAATATTTTGTCTGTCACTTATTGGAAAATAAGTGAATTTGTTCACATTAATGAATAATATTGACTACTCTGACTTGTCACTCATAGTCTAACATGTCAAGGGTACATTATAACTAAAGATGTCTGTAGAAGAAAGTTGGGAGCAGTGACTCTTAATGCTCAGGGTCTCTGCTGTATGCTTGACCCACTGAAGGGAGTTAGACATAAGGGTGGATGTAGATTACTGATTAATCATTCATGATGTTATTTTGGTGAGCACAGAAAGATGTGTAATGCAACAGAAAAGGCTGTCCCCCCTCGTCTTCTGACAGAAGAAGAATATCGGATACAAGGAGAGGTAGAGACCCGAAAGGCTTTAGAGAAGCTTAGAGAATACTGCAACAGTCCAGACTGCTCGGCTTGGAAGACTGTTTCTCGAATCCAGTCTCCAAAAAGGTAAATAAACTCTTTGCCAGAAGTGCCAAGTGTCTGTCAGGGTGCTTGTGACCTTCAGTTTTAACAGAGATTATGCTTCTGTAATCATTTTGTATTTGTGGCTTTGTTTTCCTTGTTCATCTAGGAGCAGTCAAGAGAAAGGTACTCATATCACGTGTTAAGCAGTAGCCTGTTTTCTGATTCCTCAAAGAACTATTTACTCTAGCTTTGATTTTAGCATTGAGATGAGAAGACTTTAGTACCATATTAAGTTTCCCCTTTGATAGTTTTGCACTGCTCTCTTGAGTGTTTTTTTTTAATTTTTTTTTTTTTTTAGGAGAGGGGATCCTTTTTATTTGGAAACATGTGAAGCTTCAATTTGGTATCCTGATGGCATAAAGTTTATAGGGCCATAAACACAAATAAATGTGTAATGCCCCTTAATCTTATCAGGATTACGGATGACTAAAGGAACTTTAGCACTTCCATAACTAAAAAGGGTAACTAAACTTCCATAACTAAAAGTGCTTATTAAGCAGGATGGGGTTGCAGGAGATGTTGGCCTATGATCCCAGCTTTCCTTTTCTTCTTATTTCTTGCTTTAGTCTCCTTACCTGCCAGAGTAAGGATAAGGGTGTTGGCTAGACTCAATATAATTTGAGCTGAGAGCATATCAAGGGTTTCAGTTTGTTCTTATTTTGAAAGAAAACAGGACAGAAGGCAGGTTCCTAATGAGTATTATCTTCTGTTTTTCAGATTTGCTGACTTTGTGGAAGGATCTTTCCACCTCACACCCAATGAGGTTTCTGTCCATGAGCAGGAGTATGGGTTAGAGAGCATTATTGCCCAGGATGAACTCTATGAAGAAACATCCTCTGAAGAGGAGGACTTAGATTCTCGGTACCCCCCCATCACACAACAGAACAGCTTCTTGACTTAGGTGGTCGTCAGTTATTTTTATGTGGATTGGCTTGGTACCTCAATGGTCCAGGTTGCATGTGTTGCACAATTGCTTCTCAAATCTTGGAAGTTGAGTGAGATAGTGCTGAAATTCTCCCGCTGAAATTAGAGGCCTGAGTAGACCTCCCTCTGGAAATGGTCTTGGTGGTCTCTGGGGTCCCGAGGAAGCAGAGAGGATAAAGTAGTGACTGCTTCCCAACACGTCCCATTGGTTAAGTTCATGGCCCACCTTTATATTTCCGAAGAAACTGGATTGCCACAGCTAGCATGGCGTTCCAGCTCCTCTTTGAAAGTTGATTCAGTCGTGGCATTTCAAACTCAGAAGTGATAACTGTTATATGTGAAGTAATGCTTTCAGACTATAGGCTGCATCTTTCAGAGACAAATCCACAAATCTGAGCCTCTTTTACTTCTGCTTTTATTTCAGTAACTTTAGCATAATCCTTGTTTTAAGAGGAAAATAGATTATTATTTGTCTGTCTTGTTTTTTAAGTGAATACATTTTAAAAAAATGTGACAAACTCGTTCCAGAGCCAGCAAGTGCTCCAGAGTGACAAGCCCAATAGGCCCCTACGTATTTATTAATATGGGTTATCCATTAAAGCCCAAGGAGTGTTGTGCTGAGCTTTGGATTAGTTCTCACACCTATGATATTCTAAGTCCTGCCTGCAGGCCTTTCTGTAGATGAGGTCTGTTGGGGTTTTTATTATATTTAACTTTCAATTCTCTTTTAAAAATAGGTTTGCATTCTTCCCTTCTAAGTCCTCGTTGCCCCATTTGCCCTTTCAGGAAGGGTCTATTCCCTCACCTCTGAAGTATATACATTTCAGTATATACATGTTTATATATACAAGTATATACATTTAAGTATATACATGTTTCATCAAGTATATACATGTTTCATTTCTTATATTGTCTTCCCTTTGGTTTATAATAGCATTGTTTCTGCTGGTTAGGAGGAGTGATCTTATTTAGGGAATTTAAATGCTTTTTAAGGTTCTCCATTTTTCCTGTCAGTGGGTCACATATCTTTGAATTGCTGTGGGATCAAGAAACTATCTCCTTTTCCCTTGCCTTCCTTTGTCTACCCATTCTACCTATTCTTTTCAGCCTTTCCGTACCACCTGTATCCCGCCCCACCGGAAGTCTGGCTAACTTGTGAGCCTAAAACTATCTGTGAAGGTTCTTGATACAATATACACGTTGTAGCTATGTGGCTGCCGCAGTTTGCATTGTCAGGAGATAGACCTCCAGATAATCCTTACGCCTCTGGGTGCCTGTTCAGCCATCAGGAGCAGATGCACTGTTCTATGAACTTATTGTACTTATTTGCAGTTCCATTTCTGACCAGAGGTTCATGCTGCTTTTTATTACAGTGGCATTGGTTTCACTTTCTTTTGCCATTGCAAAGTACCCTTATAAACAAGCAGTGCCATTTATGAGGGAGCAAATTCCCAAGTCTCTGTCATTCGCTTGGTTCTGTCTTTGTGACCCTCGTACCTTGGAAAAAGCTGTGATTACTTTATTCAGGAAGATGGACACTGATGGCAGGAGCACAGCACTGGACTGAGTGGCTTAACCGTGATCATGGAGAAGGCAGATGATGTTTTAAAGAGCTGTAATGACTCCTTCAGACCAGCCGTTAACAGATCATGTTGAAAGGTTCTGGACTCCATTACAGACTTCCAAGATGTCAGTTCTGAGATTCCTCTCCAGGTGGCTAGTTGATTTTTTTCTGCTGGTGTTTCCCATAGCTTTAAACTGTCCTAAAGTGACAACTACCTCAGTTGGCAGCAAATAGACATATAGCAGAAAGTGAAAAATAAGCAGTATTTGGACAGATGCCATGGGTTAAAGTTGCTTTATATTAGGAAACCTTTCTATCTTTGTGAATTATGTACATGGTAACATTTTATCTCTCTACAAAGAACTGTTAAGACCTCTGAAATTTCCTATTTTTTGCCTCATTAATAGAAATCGAGACTTAGCATGTTTGAGCGTAAGCTGATTTGAAAAAATAATTCGGCTGTACAAATGGTCTCAGGATTCCCTGGAGACTTTGGTGCCTTCCCCATATAACTACTTAGAGACATGGTTGCTTGCCTCCAGTGTGACTTTTCCCGACTCATGTCTTTATTTCAGCAAGAAAGCATTGTGAAGTAGAGAAAGATTCTCGTCTTTTTCTGTTTAGTAAACCCCTTGTGATATACAGTTTCCATCTCAAGATGAGTTTTTCTCACTGTGTTTGAATTTGGGATGAGTAAAATCAAACTCAGTTTATCACTCCCTGTCTGGTAGTTGGAGAACTGAGCTGTAGGCATTGGCAATGACAATGGGTCCTGCAGCATGAGAGCTGCTCTCAGACAGTGAAGGACGGTGCCTCTGGTGTGCTGTGTCCTTGCCCTGTCTTCCTGTGTGGCTCTGCCCCAGATGCTTCAGAGCCTCTGTGCGCCTGGAGATTGCTTGACTTCGTAAACCTTTTTTAGGAGCTGTTCTTGTCTCCCTTTTGGCCACTTAGTCTGCTGGCTCAGTCACTACTTGAAGCCCCCACTTAATTTTCAGTTACAGCTCTTGCAGTTTCGGCATAGTCTCGTCTCAGACAGATCTCATCAAGAAGGATTGAAGGGATAACTGTGGAGTGAGCTGGACATTGGAGCTATGTCTGCTGCCATGTCAGCATCTTGCTCGGCAAATATCAAGCTGTAAATTGGCCCTAGGGCTCTGGGTCCCATCAGCATCAGAAATCTATTGCCCCTAATGGGTCTGACCAAGTTGTGTAGAGCATGACTCCCATTAATGGGAATACAAGAGCCAACTGGCCTAAAACATTTCCCCTTCACTTTCCCACTCAGATTGCTTTCAGAAGACCCATGGAACCAATGACTGATAATAAGGAAAATTTAGCAACTTTGATATCTTCTAATAAGAAATTCCTATCAGCCACTTCATCCCACCAGAACTAGTTTATTTCTTCCCCCAAATTCGTGACCTTTATGTTAGTTACGGGATTTTGCTGATGATAGACTTTGAGTCCCAGTGTTCCATTTTGTGTTAATACATCCCATTTTAGGGCCTAGCCTTCTCTTCATTGACTGTGTTCCCTTCAACCCAATCCCCACTTTACGTATACAATAGAGAGTTGATGAATGAAAGGACCCAAATAGGCCAGATAGTTCCCCCAGGCCCTGATATCCATAAAGGCTTGGGAATGGATTATGCAATTGCCCTCAATCTTTTTGTTGTTCCAGAAAAAATGATGGGCCCAGATGGATGCCTACATAAAAATGGTTCCTAGCTATGTACTCATAACTTTTCTCTGAATTGAGTAGTGAAAGTTGAAGTAGGAGAAAAGGAAATTAAATGTCCTTCTAGTATTCCTTTGGACTCAGGTCTGACATAAGAGATAATAACCTATATTGAAATGCCAAGAATTTTATCTGAACCAAGGAGAGGACAGTTTGACAGATTTATTATGCCTTCACGTTACATAGGCACTGAAACCAAGTAATAAACATAAAATAGCCATTGCACAGGCAAACGCACCTAAAACCTTTTGTTTATGTTTTGATGTAGCAGAAATTGATTTTTAGGGAAACCTATGCAATTGTGGTGTTCCAGGGGTATCTCTTGGTAACTTAGCTTATGGATTCAGTTGCTGTTGAGTTGGATTCTAGACAGTTATTACCTTGAAAAGGGAATTTGGTGCCTTATATGATGGGAGCCAGAGACTGCTGGGAATAAACAGAGTGGATTCACACCAGTGTCAACACACAGCTTTAGTGGGGAAGGGGATGGCACACAGTATCCCCAAATTTGGGGCTTTTGTCTCCCATACCCCCCGCCCATGTGTCTCATCTTCCTTTTCACACTCTTGACAATAACTTGAAAATGGTGAAACCACCTTCTCCGAAATTTTCTACAGCATGGACAACATTCTTTTCTTATTAACATAATAGATAGCTCATAAGGTGAGTGTTAGGACTGTTACAGCCTGCAGTTGCCTCCCTTTATCAAGTTTCTAGAATTGATGGTGAAATAGGGAGTTACTGGGTAAGTTTTAGCCTGTGGGTAATGCCTTAGTGTTATTTTAAAAGATTTGTCATTTATATTTAAAATAAGTTCATGAATGTTTGAAAGCAACAAAATGATCAGGGATGACTCTTTGCCATGGGTCTCATTTTCACTCTTTCCTGTAAGGAAAAACAACGACGTCTTATTATATATTTTTTTATTTTTATTGTACAAGTTTGTAAGTAATCCCAATTTTAATAAAGTTTTATAGACTATATAGTGGTTTCTCTTAATGAACATGTACTTTTTTTTTTTTTGCGGTACGCGGGCCTCTCACTGTTGGGGCCTCTCCCGTTGCGGAGCACAGGCTCCGGACGCGTAAGCCCAGCGGCCATGGCTCACAGGCCCAGCCGCTCTGCGGCATGTGGGATCTTCCCGGACTGGGGCACGAATCTGTGTCCCCTGCATCGGCAGGTGGACTCTCAACCACTGCGCCACCAGCGAAGCCCTGAACATGTACTTAAAAAAAAAAAATTTATTTAATTTATTTATTTTTGTCTGTGTTGGGTCTTCGTTGCTGCGCACAGGCTTTCTCTAGTTGCGGTGAGCAGGGGCTACTCTTCATTGCAGTGCGCGGGCTTCTTATTGCAGAGGCTTCTCTTGTTGTGGAGCACGGGCTGTAGGCGCACGGGCTTCAGTAGTTGTGGCTTGCGGGCTCTAGAGCGCAGGCTCAGTAGTTGTGGCGCGCAGGCTTAGTTGCTCCACGGCATGTGGGATCTTCCCGGACCAGGGCTTGAACCCGTGTCCCCTGCATTGGCAGGCGGATTCTTAACCACTGCGCCACCAGGGAAGTCCCGAACATGCACTTTTCGTGTTTGATCTCTTGTTTTCAGGTAATCAGCAATTAGCTCTTCTGTTTCATCTTTCTGATGAGATTGTTTTGTATGCCGTTTATTTTCCTTTTTTTCTTAACTACTGCTCCCCATCCTGGGTCTGTCTTGGTCTACTTCCTTGGACTGGATGATTTCCCAGGATGCCAGATCTCTAAGGCGTATTCTTGCAGGAGCAGAAGGTTGTACCACTGTGCTGTCTCATAGGAAAACAATGTATAGGTTATTCCTGGTCCAGGGAGCTACTCTGTACTTTAGTTCTTTTCTTTTTTTAATGGCATAAAGTATCTCTTTTGTTTCTCAATTGGGGTGAGGGGAAGACCTATTGATCCAGCTGTGAGATGCCTGCCAAGAGCTTTATGTAGGGTGAAAGGGAGCAGGGCTGTAGTGAGTATTAGGGGGCATGGAATAAAAACTTCAGTTTTGGACTTCCCTGGTGGCGCAGTGGTTAAGAATCCGCCCGCCAGTGCAGGGGACACAGGTTCGATCCCTGGTCCAGGAAGATCCTGCATGCCGCGGAGCAACAGCCCATGCGCCACAACTGCTGAGCCCATGCACCACAACTGTTGAGCCCACACACCGCAACTACTGAAGCCCATGTGCTCTAGGGCCCACATGCCGCAACTACTGAGCCCATGTGCTGCAACTACTGAAGCCTGTGCGCCTAGAACCCATGCTCCGCAGCAAGAGAAGCTGCCGCAGTGAGAAGCCTGCGCACCACAACGAAGAGTAGCCCCTGTTCACTGCAACTAGAGAAAGCCAGTGTGCAGCAATGAAGACCCAATGCAGCAAAAATCAAACAAACAAACAAACAAAAAACTTCAATTATGACTAGGCCCAGCTTCTGCATTAGGACGGAGTCTGGTACCTTCCATTTTCTTTTATGTTTTGGCTATTTTCTTTGCTCTGGGAATCCATTATAGCATTTGCATTAATTCTGTACCTGTCTCTTCTGAGTTATTTTGACTACATGGAAATCCACTGTCCATTTTTCAAAGACAGTTGGTGAAATAGGAAGAAAACAGGGTGTGGATCATATGTAAATTTATGTAGATTAATGCACACCGATGACATCTTTTCTCCTCTTCCTTCTACAACCAGACTAGGTAAATAAGAGACATTGGATGATCATCAGTGGTTGAATTAATACAAACTTAAAGCATAATTGCCAGGTTTGCAAGATCATAGGGTTTTAGTGAGGATAAAAAAAAGATAAGGTGTGTAAAGCAGTTCTTCTCAAACTTTAACATGCATAGGAATCATCTGGGGAGCTTGTTAAACTGCAGACTTCTGATTCAGTAGGTCTGGGTTGGGGCCCAAGATTCTGCATTTCTAATAAGCTCCCAGGTGATTCAGATGCTGCTGGTCTGTGGACCTCACTTTGGATAGCATTTAGCTTGTTGCCTGGCACATAGTAGCACAGCTGACTCTTAAATCGGGGGTGGGGAGGGTTAGGGTCTCCAAGCCTCTGTCCAGTGGAAAATCCACCTATAATTTTACAGTTGAAGGCCCTCTGTATCTGTGCTTCCACATCTGCACATTCAGGCACCCATGGATCATGTAGCAGCAGTAAGTACTTATTGAAAAAAATCGAGTTTAAGTGGACCAGAGAGTTCAAACCTGTGTTGTTGAAGGGTCAACCGTACTTGATCAATGTTGTTACTAATTGACACCAGATAGTTTGTGAGGGTCAAAAAGACCCTCTACCACAAAATATCTTCTCCACCATGTCTGAAAACTCCTGTGTTTTTATTGTGTAACATCTTTTACAAAGTGGATGTCCCTGGGAGGACTAGTGAGTGTGAATGAGACCAATTAGATTGCCGCCCTCACAGCTCTCAGAAGTCAGCATTGAAGGGCTTAGAATTGCTGCTGCTGCTTCTAGTGCTGCTTTGCCAGCTTTACCGAAGTATAATTTATAAAATGGTACAATACAATAAAGCTCACCAGTCTTAAATCTTGCTGAATTTTGGCAAATGGAGACAGTTGTGTAACCACCACCACAGTTACGTTATAGAGCATTTCCATCACCTCAAAAAGTTCCCTCATGGGACTTCCCTGGTGGCTCAGTGGCTAAGAATCCACCTGCCAATGCAGAAGACACGGGTTCAATCCCTGGTCCGGGAGGATCCCACATGCCGTGGAGCAACTAAGTCCGTGCGCCACAACTACTGAGCCTGCGCTCTAGGGCCCGCGTGCTGCAACTACTGAAGCCCATGCGCCTAGAGCCCATGCTCTGCAACAAGAGAAGCCACCACAATGAGAAGCCCGTGCACCGCGACGAAGAGTAGCTCCTGCTCTCCACAACTAGAGAAACTCCACGCGCAGCAACGAAGACCCAATGCAAAAAAAAAGAAAACAGTTCCCTCATTTCCCCCTACGCAGACTAGAAATTCTAATGGGGGGATAAGGAAGGGAATTTCAGAGTCAGAGTGGAGGAAGACCAACAAGCTCCAGTTGCTTCAGTTTTGCCTGGGAAGCAGGAGATCACAACCCTGCATCCCCTGTGCCTCCTCTCCACCCCAAGAGTGCTTTGACAGATCTTCAAATCCCAGCTGAGTTGGATGTGTATTTTGTACCTTGTTAATTTAGAATGACCCACTCATCCCCGTTTGCCCAGAACTTTCCTGGTTTTAGCACTCAAATACCCATGTCCAGAAAACTCATCTCAGGTCCCAGACAAACCATTGATGGTTGGTCACCCTAGCTGTGATGTTCATGCCATTGTTTCTAAGCCTGAGGTTGCCATCTCATTTTAGAGTCACTTCTCTCATGTGAGCACATAGCAGGCACTTGATAAATGAGTCTGTGGATGGACACAAATGAACCTCAGTTGTAGGCAGCTGCAGATTCCTGGCCTGGAGTACAGGAGACCTGTGTTCTGGTCCTGGCGCTGCCAGGTTTGCAGCGGTGTGATCCTAGGAAAGTGATTTCTCACTCTAGGTATGTTTCCTCCACTGCAAAATAGGGGAACTTTAGTCATTTCTGCCTCTGCTGTGATACTGCTCTCCCTGTACATGGGATTATGTTCTGATGTCACTTCCACTCAGCTTTCTCTCTCTCTCTCGCCCCTTGCTTTTTACCCCCTTCAAATATATATATATATATATTTAGTAGATCAATAATTTATGTAAGGGCAGGTTGGTAATGGAATTGCTGATGGGCCAGGTTTATGCAGAGTGCTTCTGTGAGAGCAATAGAGTTTGGACCTTGAACCAAGCAGCTGTGGCTGGGAGTTGGAGAGTCAAGTCTCTAACTTCAGCTAAGTGTTTGTAATGACCTAATTTGCTCTTTGTGCATGCCTGGGAGGGAGGATGGTGGGCATAGGGAGCCTGCTGTTTAGGAATTTTCCTGGGTGGATGAGGGGGTACCCTGGGAAATAGGATTTTAAAGCTTCTTGTCCACTGGAGGGAGTTATTTCCGGCTGAGATAGTGCCCAGGAAAGAGCATCCCAGGGTCTTATTCGGTATTCTAGCACAGAAGAAGGAATAAAATGAGAAATACCAGGACTTGGGCTGGAACCTGTGGCCAACTTAGGGTCAGGAAGCTGCATTTTCCTGTTCCTGGTTCTGCCATGTGCCATCTGTGGAACTAGGGGCACATTGTGTAACCTCTCTGAGCCTCGGTGTTGGTCTCTAATTTTCCTTTTTAATGGAGTGAGTCTGCACTGCCTACCTCACAGGGTGGTGTGATTCAATGAGGTGACACAGGTGGGAGTTCACTGAATGAATGAAATGTCAGTTGTTAACACTAACTTTAATCTTTGGACCTGTGTGATGGGGTCTGATTCATGGGGGGAGGGAAGTGGAGAGAAATTTGGGGATTTTGTCTGCTTAGTTCTTCCAATAATGTCATCAGTACCCCCTGGCTCCGAACAAGATAGGAAGGGTAGGTTTGAGGGAGGTACTACTTCTTTGGTTAGAAGACACCCCAGCCTAACTTCCTCTTTGACAATATTCCTGACTTTTGGAAAAAGCTTCTCCTTGGCTATAAAGTCTGCTCCTTCTGCCCTCACTTCCAAATTTTGGGGGCAATGGAGCAAGAACTCTGCTTGAACCCCTTAGCTAAGGCCAGCCAGATACCCCTTCTTACCTAGAGGGGGCTTTCTCATGCGACTGAGTGTCTCCCTCTGGGGCTGCAGGCCTGTGAAGGGTTAAGCGAGCCACACCCTCAGCAGGAACAGCCTCGGACTTTGTGCTGAGCAGCCATCTCAGGGCTCGCCTGGCCTGACTGGCACAGGGAGCCCTGGCTGGAGGAGGCTGCACAGAGGAAGGTCAGAATCGTGGACACTGGGAAGAAGAGGGTCGAATATCTCCTGTCTTCTGTGACACCATGGACAGCTCCCATTGACGAGGGCACCTCTCCAGCCTTGGGGCCTGGGACTCCTATGCCCCCTTCCTGTCGAATTGGGATTTCATCCACCAGTCTCCAAGAGACACTGAAGTTACACCCTAGTTCCAGTACTGGGTGAGTCCTTCCTTAACCTGCCTGTACTACTCTTTTCACATCTTTGGGTGCCCCATGTGGGGGCTGCTTTTTTTCCCTCTTCCCCACCTCCAACCAATCTTATTCCCATTCCTTTCAAATCTAAATCCAAAGGAGATGCCTTCTCCCAGCCCTGCTTCTGCTTCTCTCCCTTCCCTGCCAAGTTATTTAAAATCTTAACTTTTATTTTTTAATCTAGAAAATGTGGGATGATAATAGTATCTACTTCATGGGGATATTCTTAGCATCAAGTGAATTAGTGGATGTAAAGTGTTTAGAGCCTGCCTAGCCCGTAGTACATACTACCTGATTGCTAAAGGTTGCGATAGTCATTATTCTTATTGCTCCCTCCGTTGTGACTTTACAGGAAGTGACAGGTGCTCCCTTTTCCCGAAGCTTGGGGAAGGCAGAGTGAAGGGAGAAGGCAGCCCGTGCCCCCTTCTTGCCCCACCTTCCCTTCCTGCTTCCCTCCCTTCCCCCAGTCAGTTTCAGCAATGCGGCACAGGAGGATGTGGCTCTTTTATTCCTGTTAGGGAGTGGCATTGACCATTGTAATAGTCCCGTCCCGCACCAGGTCGCCCTGCCTACTCAGTCCCCCAGGAAAGACTGAGGAGGGCTGGGCTTCCACTCTAGGGAGCACCTGCCATATGCCTACTGCGTGGAGGCCGAGCCGCACGGTGTCCCCTGCCCCTCTGACTCTGCCCATTCCCACCAGCTACTAAAAAGCTAGGTGTGTCCCTCTGGGGCAAAGTCCATGCCAGAAGCTTATGGTCATGGGTGTAAAATCTGGACATGGAAATATAGGGACAGACATGTAGGCACATCCAGAGGTACTGACAGCTACTTGCTTGTTGGGGAAACAAACCTCATTTTCATTTTCTTTGGGGTATTCCAGCCTTTTACGGAGGAACTTCCGTCTCTGTCCTTGAGCTCATCACCTCTTCCAGTCCCCATTTAAAAAATGAATCTCACTGTAGCAGTGAGATGGGAGGAAAGACACTGGCACAAGTTTTCAAAGGGGTATGGGGTGTGCTGGGTGACTGAAACGGAGGCTGTGAGAGGCGGGGAGTTGAGAAGGAGAATGGGGGACAAAGAGTCAGGGAGTCTGGACCCTGGCCTCAGCCTCCGTGCAGGAGGGAGGGAGCTTTTGGTGCCTGGCTGTGGCATGAAGTTTGCTTACCCTTTCCTCCCCAGCCCTCTCCCCTGCAAGCACAAGGATGCTCCCCCAGCTGCTGCCTACTGGGTGCCTTCTTTACCCTGGTGGTCCTGTCCCACCCCCACCAACCCTAATTCAGGGAGCAGAGGATTCCCTCGCCTCCCACCAGGAGTTTCTGCAGCCTCCACTGTTAGCTTGGGCTGGCCCAGAGGCCTTTCCCAGGTTGGGGGCTCTCTCTAGGGCCAGGACTGGGGGAGGGGAAAGCTCTCTTAGGTCCTTCTGCCTTCCTCCCCTCAAACAGTTACTGGCCTCTAAAGCTGAGCAGACATCAACAAACTGATCCCAGGATCAGTTGCTCCTCTGGACATGACTCTCCTGGAAGGGTCCATTGGGGTGGAAGACCTTGTGCTCCTGGAACCCCTGGAGCAGGAGTCTCTGATCAAGAACCTCCAGCTGCGCTATGAGAACAGGGAGATTTATGTGAGTGCTTACGGGTGCCCCTGCCTGTGGCCATGTGGCCAGAGAGTTCATGTGCCTCCCCCTAACCCCCACCCTCACTCATTCCCTTCATCTTCCCTGGCTCCAGACCTACATTGGGAACGTGTTGGTCTCAGTGAATCCCTACCAACAGCTGCCCATCTATGGCCCAGAGTTCATTGCCAGATACAGGGACTATACCTTCTACGAGCTGAAGCCCCATGTGTGAGTAGAGGGACCGAGGAAAGGTGACAGGGCCCCGGCTCGCTATGATGACACATCCTAATTTCCTCTTTCCTTCCTCCTGAAGGAGGTTCTCCAGCTGCCCCTTCCTCCCTTGGCCCTCTGGAGGCCCCTTCCTAGGCCTGTCACTTGCCTTGGTCTGGTCCAAGTGGGGAGGGCGAATGAGTCTGGGGGTTGGGGGTCGAGTGAAAGGTGTTGTCCTGGACTGGTCCCACACTAGTCACCACCCACTTCCTCCACACAAGCTATGCACTGGCAAATGAGGCGTACCAGTCACTGAGGGACCAGGACCAAGACCAGTGTATCCTCATCACGGGCGAGAGTGGAGCTGGCAAGACAGGTGAGGCGCCCGGCGGGGAAGCCGTGGAGTCACTGCTGGAACTACCCCCTTGTCTCTTTCCAAGCCAGGCCCAGTTCTGCCCCCGCCCCCTGAAATTCCTCCCTGGCCTTTTCTGACTCTGAGTGGTGTGAGGTGCTGGGATGAGGGAGGTTAAGGGCATTGGTGGGGATTCACGCGAGGGTTTCTCTTGCAGAGGCTAGTAAGCTAGTGATGACTTACGTGGCGGCTGTCTGTGGGGAAGGGGAACGGGTGAACTCTGTGAAGGAACAACTGCTTCAGTCAAATCCAGTGCTGGAGGGTGAGAAGTCCAGTCTCTGCCCGATCCACCCCCACCCCACCCTACCGTCCCCAGTGTTCCCCACATGGCTGTTCTTGCTCAGCCTGAGAAACCTGAGATCGGCCTCATGGCTGGAGGGCCTTCCCCCTTCCCCTGCTCTGGAGTCCGTCTTCTCGCCTCAGCCATCGTATTCCCCCTCCCCTCATCTCCGCAGCTTTTGGCAATGCCAAGACCATTCGCAACAACAACTCCTCTCGATTTGTGAGTGAACATCTCCCCGGACTGGGACAAGAGGGTGTGGGGCCTTGAGAGGGAGGAACAAGGCGCAGATCCCTCCTGGACAGGGTGGCGAGAAGAGGAGGAAGCCAAGTCTCTCTCTCTCTCTCTCTGGTCTCTGAAGGGAAAATACATGGATGTTGAGTTTGACTTCAAGGGATCCCCCCTTGGTGGCGTCATCACAAACTGTACGTGTCTCCCCATCCCGCTTACCACCTGTCCCACCTGCCCCCACGGTGTTCCTTTTGGCTAATCTGCTGCTGTAGGAAGGAGGAATGTTAGACTACCAGGCTTCCCAACCACTAGGAACACTAGGGATGAGGGCAGAATTAGAGGGAAGCTGCAGTACCTCCCAGGTCCTCAGAACATGATTTTCAAATTCTCTGCCAGATCTGCTTGAGAAATCCCGCGTGGTGAAGCACCTTGAAGGAGAAAGGAACTTCCACATCTTCTATCAGCTACTGGCTGGAGCAGATCCACAGCTGCTGAGTATGTGCCTGCCCCCGACACATGGCAGAACATCCCTAGCCTCCATTCAATGCCCAGAACCCCTGGGCCCCTCTGGATCCCTGTAGCCCTCTTCCCTTGAATCTCAGGGCAGTCCCCACCCTGAATCTCATCCACCCATTGTTGGGAACAAATCCCTTGACCTCTGTGTTCTCTTCCTTTTCTGGGGTTTTATTGCTAGGAATAAGCCTTCTTACCTCTTCCCTGCTCTTATTTCTCTGTCTTGTCTGGATTCCTCTTTCCCCAAGCTGGCTTCAAAAATGGAACACTTATTTCCATCTACCATCTCTCCTATCTTCAATTTAAGGGACTTTGTCTGTAGCTCAGCAGGAAAGCAGGCAGGATGTTACAAGTGTTCAAGAACTTTCAGTGAGCTCTAGCTGAAGTTGTCCTGGGTGTACATCTGCCTTGCCCAGGACCTTGTCCTTGATTTTCTCTTCTTAGATAGTTCTGTGGAGGTTCCATTCAGTCATTCATCAAACATCTCTTGAACACCTACTATGCTTGAACATTGTGCTAGCTTCTAGGGATACAGAGGTGAGTAAGAGACCTTGTCCTCGAAGAACTTATAGTCTTCTAGGGATGGCAGATGCATGAACAGCTACATCGCAATACAGTGTGATCAGTGCCAATAGGCTCTGCAGCTGGCTAGAGGGGCAGAAGGCATGGAGCACCTTACGTTGTCTTGGGGAAGAGACCATCTCAGCCTGGATGCTGGATGGGCCTGAGGTGGCTCGGGATGGGCATTACTGCAGGGTCTGATGGGACTTAAAGCCCTGCCAGAGTTTCCCCTCTCAACCCCCCCTCTAACTGTGGGCACTGTGGGTGTCTTGGCCTCCAAGAACCTGTCCCTTTGGTTTCTGGTTATTCTGTGCTGGACTTGTGCCTGTCTCCTTTCCCCCTCCTGGAGATCTCTATGGTTCAAGAGCCCCCACAGGTCTCATCCTCCCTCCTGGCTTAATTGTCTTGATTGTATTCCGTTTTTCTGAATCATAGGTACTAGAGTTGTGCTCCGGCTGATTCTCACTCACTGATTTAAGTTGAGTCTGGGTGGGGCCTCCCTCCCTGGTGTCATCATCCCAGGGCCTTTCTGACTCATTCTCCTTCCAGACACCCCTCTTTAGCAGGCTCTTATTTCAAAATTTGTGTCTCAGGGGAAACTGCCATTAAACTCTAGTTTGAGGGTCACTCCCTGATTCTCAGATCATTTGAATAACAGATAACTGATACCCTTCAAGCTCCATGATTAACCCATTCCTTCCCATCTCAGGTGAACGGCTTTGATCATTCCCTTGATTCATTTATTAAAAAGAAAAAAGTTCCTGCATGCCAGCCAGGCACACAGAATATGAAGATGAAAAACACAGTCCCAACACACAAGTTGTTCATTGGTAGGAGGGACAGAAAAAAACCCAAAGCCCAGCCCATGTGATGTGGTCTGGGGTAGAGATGCACAATGGGGGAACACAAGAGGGCCATTTGGCTCAGCTACGCGCAGAGAAAACCTTCCCGAAGGGAGTCAGGGTTGGGGAACATAGTATCTGTCACTTGGTTGGTGCTTTGTGAACAAATAATGGGTGCGCCAACATGGGCCTAGGGTGAGGCCTTGAGGCTGGGGGTGGGTGGCAGATGTGTGCTCACCCTTCTTTCCTCACCTTCATCCTCCGAGAACCATTGAGAACTGAGCAGGACAGAGAGGTTTCTTGTTTGTTTTTATTGTTTGGAACCCTGAGGGTGGGGAAAAGAGTAGAATGAGACTTTTCTTTCATAAAAGTTGGGGAAAACCTCAACAATTATGAACACCCAAACCCTAAATACCACTTAAAAATGTAGTCTATCATCACAGGAATTAGTGATCCCAAAACAAAAGAGGCAGGGGAAGAACCTAAAACAAAAATGGCTCCTCTGAATAAATGAACGAACCAACCTAGGACAAGGGCCGTGAGGGTCAAGGCTGGGGGACTCCAGAAAGCATGTGTACTGACCCTCTTCCCTCATGCTGGCCCTCCCAGAGGCCCTGAAGCTTGAGCGGGACACAAATGGCTATGCCTACCTGAACCCGGGGGCATCCAGGGTGGATGGCATGGACGACACTGCCAACTTCAAGGCCCTCCAGGTGAGTACCTGGGATGGGCCATTAGGCCATGCCCTGAGCCCAGGCTCTGGCTTTGAGAAGGGAGGCGTTAGACTGGCACCGCAGTTCAACTTTGGACTTCTCCTTTCTCTCCAAGAGTGCGATGACTGTGATTGGGTTCTCCAAGGAGGAGATTCGGCAGGTGCTAGAGGTGGTGGCCCTGGTGTTGAAGCTGGGGAATGTGGAACTGGCAGACGAGTTCCAGGCCAATGGGGTACCAGCAAGTGGCATCCGTGATGGGAGAGGTCTGTACCCAACCAGCTCCCTGAATCTCCTGCTACAATTTCTGTTCTTCCACCATCTCCAGCATAATAGACCTCACTCTGATTCAGTCCCCCTCTGCCTGCTCAGGAGTTCTTCCCCAAACATACTCATTCAGAACTCCCTGTGAGGCATATTGGAATGAGATTTTGATGTTTGGTAGACCTAGGTTCTGAGGCCTCTCTGAGTCTCAGTGGATTCTTTGCAGAAATGGGGACAATTACACTCATTTCAGGAGATTCTCATATTAAAGGAGATAATGCATGCAAAGTGTCAAGATCTTCCTTTCCTCCTCCTCCCCAGAGATTCCTCCAGAGCCATGTTCTGGATTGGCTGTAAGGACTTTCCCAGTAAGACCCAGGAACAGCAGGCTCTCAGCAGTTCCACTTTTCAGCCCTCCCTCCCTCCCCTGGGAGCCAGCCCTCTCTCAGGCCATGTTGTATTTCCTCATCTCTCCAGGTATTCAAGAGATTGGGGAAATGGTGGGTTTGAATTCAGTGGAACTAGAGAGAGCTTTGTGCTCAAGGACCATGGAAACGGCCAAAGAAAAAGTGGTCACTGCACTGAATGTCGTCCAGGTGAGGGGCCCTGTGGGAGGAGGCTGAGTTTTGAGTCTGTTCTGTGGCTGCCACACTAACCAGTTGGCACTGCCCTGCAGGCTCAGTACGCTCGGGATGCTCTGGCTAAGAACGTCTACAGCCGCCTTTTCACCTGGCTGGTGAATCGAATCAATGCGAGTATCCAGGTGAGAGACTGCCCTCCTCCCTCAGCAGTCTCCTCTGCCCGCCCCATGCCTTGGGTTCTGAGATAAACAGAGTAAGGAGGATAGGGTGTATTTATTTATTCACGATAATGTAGTGTTTTGGAAACATCTCTGTCTTTTTGAGTTCATCTATTTGGGTTCCCTACTTACCAACTGTGTGGTCTTTCAGTTTCACAGAGATTCTGAACCTCAGTTTCCCGATTTGGGAAATGAGACACACTAATGCCTACTCATTTCACAGGATTTAGTGAGGATCAGATGAAATTGTGTATGTGGTTACCATATAACCCAGCAATTCTACTCCTAAGTATATATCCAAAAGAACTGAAAACAGATGTCCACATAAAAACCTGTGCATAAATGTTCATAGAGGCATTATTCATAATAGCCAAGAAGTGGAAACAACCCCAGTGTACATCAACTAATGAATGGATAAACAAAATGTGGTATATCCATACAGTGGGATATTATTTGGCCATTAAAAGGCACGAAGTGCTCATACATGCTCAACGTGGATGAACCTTGGAAAGATGTTGAATGAAAGAAACCAGACACAAAAGGTCACATTTGGTATGATTCCATTTATATGAAATGTCCAGAGTAAGCAATCCATCGGGATGGGAAGTAGGTCAGCAGTTGGCAGGGGAATACGGAGTGACTGCTAATGGGTTACATGTATAAGATTTCACCTGGGGATGATGAAAATGCTCTGGAATTTAGTGGTGGTGGTTGTATACCTTTTGAATATACTGAAAAAAAAATCCCACTGAATTGTATACTTTTAAAGGGTAAATTTTATGGTATGCAAATTAGGTCAAAATAGAGCTATTATTTAAAAATTCGTATGTGAAAGTGCCATCAATTTAGAATCTGTTACCAGAAGGCAGCAGGGTAATATAGGATTTGAATCTAGATTTGGGTAAATGCTTAGCTCTTTTGAAGTTCGATTTTTTTTCATCTATAGAATGGGAATAATCACACCTTATAGGGATAGATGGATTAATGAAATAAGATCATAGGATTTTTGGTAAAATGCTCTACAAATATAAGGGATGGATATTTTCCCGAGAAGATTTTAACGTCTTTCTACTTTGTACCATGGGAGCATTTTCCTGGAATCTGTTACATCTTCCTTTTCCTCCTTTCCTCCCTCTTTGCTTGTCCTTCAGCATATAGAGGAAGAGGGAGAGTAAAATTACACCAATTCCTTTCCAGCTTGGTCAAGCTCACCCAAGTTCTGTTTGCTCCCTGCTTTACTCACATCCATCCCAGAGGGGCCTGGCCTTGTGTGTAGAGGGCCGGTCCTCAGATTTATCTTTTCCTCCTCTTCAGGTGGGCACGGGGGAGAAAAGGAAGGTCATGGGGGTCCTGGATATCTATGGCTTTGAAATATTAGAGGTGAGAGAGCCTCAGCAACCTCAGCACCCTGCTTCCTGAGGGTTAGGAGCGGCAGGCTCCAAGGGGGGTGTGGGAGAGGGGAGGTAGGGCTGAGACAGAGGAAGTGTCTTGGCCTCACTCTCTAACCTGTGTACCCACCACAGGATAATAGCTTTGAGCAATTTGTGATCAACTACTGCAATGAGAAGCTACAGCAGGTGTTCATAGAGATAACGCTGAAAGAGGAGCAAGAGGAATATAAGAGAGAGGTAAACGAGAACTTCCTGCTTCCCCTCTCTCAGATGACTTCTAGGCGTTTGCCAGATCTTTCTCCTTCATCACAGCTTCCTCCCAGTTGTCCCCAGATGAGAACACTAAGGACAGAAAGTTTCCCTTGCACAGCTGAATATTCCAGCATTACCAAGAAGCCCTAATTCTCTGCTTTCCACCCCCAGTTCCCCATCCTGCCCTCCAGGCCAGGAGAGGAAGGGAGCAGATTGATGGAAGGGTGTTGGGGTGGGTAGGGGTGGGGGAGAGGCCTGACAAGAGTGAAGTGACAGCTGTGCTTGGCCCAGGGCAGGCTATGAGCCGAATCTAGAAGGGGCATTTCTCCTGGGCTTGGCACCCTACCACATCCCTTTCAGTGTCCTTCTCTGACGTCTCAGAATCTTTTGTCTCCTCTGGGCTGGACTGATGTTGCCGTCCCCTCTTGTAGCACCCAGACTTCCTCACCAGAAGTGCCCCGTGGCTCAAAGTTTCCACACTCCTTCCCCTGGTCAGCGAAAACCGCACCACCCCCCCCCCACCCCCACCCCCCCCCCCGCCCGCCCC